TATCTCTCGTGTTCAACGTCGTCATGTATGTATGTCAGTGTATCGCTAATGATCTAATGGATGATCGTTGTCGGGGACTTTAACTTCGGTCTGCAACCGCCCGTGCCGCTCAACCCGAGCGACGAGCTTTTCAATGCACCTCTGCCGCCGCTCGTTCCAGGGGCTCCCGAGTGGCGAGAAGTTCTTTGTAAGATGGTCGAGTTTCAGCTAGAGGCGCCTACCCATCTTCATGCGGGGGTGCAGCACTTATCCTACATCGATCGGTTGTTCTGCTCTGCTCCAGGGCGGGTGTTATCTCAGATGGTCGCCAGCGGGGAGGTAGTGGGAATCCCAGAACAGCTTCTAGCGAAACACATCTCAGACCATGCTGCAGTCTGTGCGACTCTTGTTGCTCGTCAGCGGCCGCCTGGAGATGCCCGGCCTATCCCGCGCGAGATCTTTCGCGTGGCCGAATTTGTGGTATATGCGTCGTGCACTTGCTGCTGCTGAATATGAACAGCTTAGTGTACCTCTCAGACATGCATATTATAAGAAACTCATCATAGACGCAGCTCGATATGCCCGGTACACGCTCATCATGCACAAGCCGCAGTCGCTCGACGCCAAATTCATAGTCCTGCGTACGTGTGCACGTGCTGTCTTTCGGCAAGATGTGCGTCTCGCCGAACGCGTTTGCCTGTCCCGCCCTCTCGCTCGTGAGCACCTCGTTTACGACGAAGCTGCGAGCACGGTCGATCTGGTCCCGCCGCTGGACTTTGCATCGCTCTCTGACACGCCGCGCGCTGAAGTTTCACAGCGTCGGCGACAACTCGTGCAAGCGAGTCCTGCTGCTGCTGGAAGCGAGCAGCGCCAGGCTCGGCTTCGAGGACGGGTGGGCAAAATGCAAAAGGCTGCTAAGTTATGGTCCCCCTTTGACAAACGCGTCACTCTGGCGGGGGTTCGGGTCCAGGGGCAAATCTTGCAGGAACCCTCCCGCGTCCTTGAAGCGCTGTCTGCTCATTGGGCCCCTGTCTTTTCTGGTAAGCCTTTCGAAGAAGAGCCTGCGAAGTCGTGCCTTCAGGAGTTCGCCCCTCGAGTTTCGCGCCACGATCCCCCCCCCCCCACCTTGGCCTTCCTGGAAAGCTACGTTCGGAGGCAGTCCGACTCTGGCCCTGGGCCCGACCGTCTCAGATACGCTGCGTGGCAGCATGCCCCGTTAGGTTCCTCCATGCTGTTTGAAGGACTTCAGTGGATCCTGAGCGGCTTCTCGCTCTCCTTCAACTTTAACGAGCTGCTGGGAGTTTACATTCCCAAAGGCACGGAAGCTGGCGATCAAGATGGAGTTT